GGATCTATCGGTGTATATCGGATTCCAGGTCGAGGTTCCTCGCTCAGTCAGTCCCCACCTATCGTTGTCCCCCCCCACAGGCGGCCGCAGCGGAGTTCGAGGTCGTCAAACACGTTTTTGAATGTGTTCGTTGGTACCCTGCGGTTTTCCAGCTTCGAGGTACGTTCCATCGGCTGCGCCTCGCCGAGATTTCTCCGGCCGGTGCGGGGATCGACCCGAACGGTTGCCAGAGAGCCAAGCTATGACCAGAAAACCCGCAGCCAGGTGAGCGACGTAAGAGAACGGGTTCGATTGCACCGATATTCGCGCGTAAGCTGGCCGCGAAAGGTCTCTCGCAAGCGCCCTCTCTTCCACGCAGTGCGCCACCTGTGGGCATCTACCCTTGAGATCCTGGCGTCGCGTTTTTTCACAACTGGCGATTTGACTGTATTTCAGGCCCCTGGGCTCTCACGGATCGATTCGTCTCGAGAAGTGCCGCAGAAAGATGTGGTCTAGGGCTCCGGTCGAATTGTTTTTACGATGTTTTTTTTTTTTTGTTTGTGACGTCGGAACTCGGGCTAATGCGCCACATGTCGGCATATCTTATACGCCGCCTGAGTGCGTATATGATCCCTTGCTCTGGGCCCACGGGCCTCCCCCCCCTGCCCAGATGAGATGTGTCTCAAGGTCCCTCGCCCCTCCCCAACATAGGATGGGGTGGTGGACGATGACGACGACGACGCCTCCTGCTGCTTTCGCTGCGTCCGTAGATGCTAGGCTCGGCGTGGCGTTATCGATGCTGCACGCATCTTGGGTCACAGCGCTGGAACGGACGATCTATGAACACCATGGAGTGGCAGGGCCCCCGTCATTGGGGCGAGCTCAAGGGCATCATTCTGATGTGCAGGAGGTCCGTTTATCCGCAAAGAGTCGAGCAGTTCCATATCGCGATCGGCTGACCTTTTTGTGGGGGAAAACACATACAGTTTTGCAGAGGCTGTGAAATCATTGAGTTTGCGCTAATGTGACTATCCACCAGCAGCCGCTCGAACAAAAACATGCAAGCAACTTGGGGGGGGATGTTCCAGATCAAGGGCACCGTGGGCTCCGAGTGGGGTCCGGTCCGTCTTGGGAAGTTCGGGAAGGACTCTGACTCTCTAGTGCCAAGCAGGTGGAGCAACCCAAAATTCAGCTTTTTCTGGAGTCCGCCGAGAAGATCGT